GGGGGGGGGGGGGGGGGGGGGGGGGGGTGGACGGGTGTGGGTGGCGCGCACGGGCGGAACTGGAGGGATGTGTTGGCGCGTTGCTAGAAATGAAGATTTTTCCCAGTTTCCGACGTATGCAAGGGGGTCTGAAGGCGCCTGCTCTGAACCCGAGGATTGGCATTGCAACCGTTGGGGCTTGTCGTTAGGCGTCGGTCCACCCGTGCTGGTTTCGTTTTGGGCACTCACCTTTGAATAACGGTCGGTCCTATCGCAGGGTGTCCGAAATCTTCTTCGTACACCTCAACGGGGGCGTTGACGGAGGTGTTGAAGTCTTGGCACGCCTTGCTCACGACTTGAGTCACCTCATCCACCTGAGAGTCCTGTTTCGTCGAACACAGAAGGAGAGTAAACGACGATCAATTCGACTTGCGATGATGTTCGCGTATCCGACAGTTGAGCCCGCGATGCAGTGTCACTCCGTACTCCGTCGCACAGAGGTGCGCCTCTTTCCATTCCCAACAGCAATTGGTCGCGGAATTTACATTGCGCATGTAGTCACCCTGGATCTGAAATTACGAAATTACGGAATCATTTAGCAGCCGCGTAATCTAGTCTACGTTGTAGTCTATAATAGTGGCAAAGGATCCAACTTCGTCGTCGACCTGCTGGGACCAGGACACACATGCAATGGCACACGGCAAACACAAGGAGGCCGTGCCAGCTTGTTGTCCCATTGAGGAACAAAGCATTGCCTTCACGATCCACACATCTTGATCGAGAAACACGAGCTCTTGAGTAGTCATCCTCAGGCGGCAGCGGCAGCAGCAGGAGGCAGGATCAGCGGCAGAATTAATTGCAAAATTCCGTCTGGACAACGAGGTGGGCGGTGGTAGTTTGTGGTTATTGGTTGGTGGTAGGTTGTGGTTGTGGGTGGTGGGCGGGTAGGGGCGGGCGGCGGAGGGACCGGTTCCTGGCGGGCGGCGGAGGGACCGTGCCGGCGGCGGTGGAGGGACCCAGCGGGGAGGGGAAAATTCGCGGTGGAACCTGTTTTTTTTTTTGTTTCGCTATTTTATCGTGGGTCCCCCCAAATCAGGGAAGTAGGCGTTGTCATGTTTACGTTGGATCAAGCGGGATGACGAAATGCTGTAGACTAGAGATAAGGGAGCGAGAGCAGCGAGCAGACGAGGGGCTGGGTTGCTGCACACCCGTGCCCCCCAAACAGATGGAAAGGAAGAGCGGCGGGCGGATGCACCAGCCGGTCGCTATGATGCTCGCCAGTCGGAAAGCACTGGTCGTGCGGCGGCGGCGGCGGCGGCGAAGAAGCAGGTTTGCGAAAGGAGTCTTCCTGTTGGTGGCGGTTTGCGCAGCCGAGTCGCAGCAACGCGCGACGGCCTTCATCTCCGCACCCTCGGGCGTTCATGCTTCGAGGGGAGGTGAGTCGGTGGTCCCTGGGCAGTAGACCTTGATCTTCAGGCGCCGGAGCATGCTATCAATCAATGGCCACAAGACTGCGCCGTGCCTTGCCACCTAGTTTTGTTCAACGAGGGCGGGACCAAATCGAACCTCAGGTTCGAGAAGGGTACATCTGTATGCTGTGCATGCATACACTGCTGCATGCACCCAACCCACTTGCTGTTGGTTTGTCCCACGGCCGACAGCAGTAGTTCATGCCCACACTGCTGTGGAGCAGAGCGGTGGTCTATAACATCCTGCAAGGTACACATCACAAACCTATGTAGCAACGTCCTGCAAAGCGGTTGACGGAGCGCCGCCCCCAAACCCGTGGTGCTTGTCTCCGCCCGTGATCCTGCTGTGCTGTGCGCTCTCCTTGCAGCTGCCAAGCGCTCCTCCCCTCGTCTGCAAGCGGAGCCATCGGAAGAAGACGACTATTCGCGCCTCGTGCGGAGAATGAACCACCTGGAGAGGGTGGTGTCCGACCAGGTGAAATGAGGTTTGCCGCAAGCTCGCCCCTCAGGGGCATTACTCGGACAAACACTAATTTATTTGCAAGACAAATCTACTCTGTATCTACCCTGTAGGCTGCGCACAGCAGCGATTGTGCTGTATAGCATATTCGTGCACATATTTGTGCACGCACAAATATGCCTTGTGCACGCATAAATATGCTACATCCACGAATACCGCCAACAACATGCCACTGCCGACGAGTATCTGAGACGACGAGCCTCCCCGTACACCGCCTCGCCAAGAAGTAGTGGCTACAAGTATGATTGTAGACACACGCGCACAAACATGGTTCAACGTCGTCTGGATCGCTCGGTAAGGAGTACATGTAGACTGTAGCGTAGAACGAATCCTAAGGACCAGTATCCCCGTCCTCTACCCGTCAACTCGAATGCTGCACGATTTAGTAATAGTCAGAGTCTATTCCTTTCCCGTCTCCCAAGCACATGTTATCTTCCCTGACGCTTGTATGTTACCTCGAAGGGGGCCCTCTATGGTGCCGGTTGAATAGTGCCGGGGCCCGGTACANGAGAGAGCACTCCTAAACGAAGTCGAGTGCAGGGTGACAGTCTTAGTAGACACGTGCAGTTTTCTTCTGTTATTACTACGGTATCTGTCTTTAATCCTGAGAATAGCGTAGCTCCCACTACGACGCTCGGTCCCGGGGTCCCAGATAGTGGACTATAGAAACATTTTGTGTTTCCCGCCGCACTGAGACTGACGTCTTTTCATTGGTTAGCCGGTTAGCGCGGTCGATGCTAATAATAAAAGCACAACACACACACACACCCAGAGGACAGACGCCACACCGAAAAGAGTGTACACCTGCTTCTGCAGACCCTAAGAGCTCTACGCAGAGGCGCACCATGCCCTGCGCGGAAGGTGAACTGTGCCTTCAACAGAACGAAACGCCGCAAGACCCTCATGGCCACATCTGCCAGGGAGGATGTGGCGGGCGGCTCCACGGCATTTGCGGCAGCGTGTTTGACGACAACGAGCAGCACCGCATCTGCAGCGCGTGCGTCGCCAGGACTGGCAAGCGCAAAGCGACAGCAGCTGACAGTGCTGGGGCAGGACCATCTAAACGCCCATCAGCTGCGGGTACTAAAGTATGTAATGGTCGTTTATTTTTCGTGCGGTGCGCTTGGTGTCGTGGTTCTCTGTTGTCTTGTTTTATCTGGCAACATCGAAGGAGGGCAACGAGGACTTATACGTCCACGGTAATACACACATATTCGATCCACGATCCACATCGTACTCTGTTGGCCCCGCAAAGCTTGAGCGCTGCACCATGAAATCAACACCTCCTCAATAGTGCCGATCCGGCACTATTGGAGGAAATCCGAAGCCTCAATAGTGCCGGTCCGGCACTATAGAGGGCCCCTTACTGAATACTGCCGGTGCCCGGTATAGTGCCGCTTTGCTCTCTGAACACATACCGGCACTATAGAGGGCCCCCTACTGTATTAGGTGTAAGCCTAGGTACTGAGCGGAGACCGGAACGGTGTTTGATGCGAAGACAGCAACGATAACGATACTCTGCGTATATACATACGTTCGTCATCGTAACGTCGAAGAGTTTGCTCCCTTTCGGGAAGTCTACAGTATTGCCGTTATTCAAACCAGGGAATCAGGAGTGGGGAGGAGAGAAGTTCATACACACTGGTCGCCACGTTCGGTACGAGGACCTTTGGACTTGAACATGCCCCCAATAGGCCGGCATCCGATAGCCGCCACTGATTTCCCCTACTTGTACTGCTGTCTAGAATTGCGAGCTGCTGTCTAAAATTGCGAACAGCCCGTCGCCGTGGACTGCTGCCTGCTTCCTCTCTGTGTCACGCACAAACAAACAAAAAACGAACAGCTGAAGCATTGGGCGAAGGAAAAAACTCTTGGATTTTTCGAGGAGAGACTTCACCGACTTGACCGTGAAGATGCCATTGCCCCTAAGTGCGTATTGTGTATGCGTATGATCCACCACAAATGTTTGCGATGGGGTATGTTTTGCGCTGTCCGCGGTGCCGGAGTATCATTTTTTCGGAATGGAAAGGTGTTCGAAAATTCTTACTGCTGTGAATACCGTCCCAATGAAAATATGGATGGACGCGTTTATGCTCAACGTGTGACTGCGGACGTTGTGGGTGAAAGAAAGTACGTTTGCATGTCCTAGGTCGAATGCAGGTAAAGGGGCGTCCGGCGCAGCACGAGATTTGGCGTCACAATTCACCCACGATAGCCGCAGAATTCCTTGCTGCTCCCACAACAAAAACTCCAAAAACTGCCAACAGCAGTAGAAAGAGCGTCTTCGCAAAATCGGGCCCGAGAGGATGTGGGCCGAAGCACTGCCGCCGAGTGGCGATGCTGGGAGGAATCATTGTGACACCAGATAACCCATCCACAAGAGCGGCCATCTCCCAATCAAGCACACAACAACCCACCGGACGCGTCCGCTCCTCCTGCTAGCTACACATCAACCGCCCCCGCCGGGGAAACAGTAGAGATTTAAGGAGAAATAAATACACGCACAGAAAGACTTCCCATTCGAGATATACCAGCAGAGATGAGCTGGCAGAGATGCGAGATAAACCGAAGAGATCCAAGAAGTCGGGGAAGGCGAAAGATTACTGCTGTGCGCGTACCTGGTGCCTGGAAAGCTAGCAGCGCCAACGCGGCAGTGTAACCCAGCCCGCACAACGCCCATCGCCGTGGAGCCATGGTTTTTTCTCCGCAGCCCAGTAGCTGGCTGCTTCCCTCCCTCTCAGGCTAGCTCCGCTCTCTCCCGCTCTTCGTTTAAACGACGACCGCAAACAGCAACCTCTCGACTCCTTCGTGCTTGCTTTTTGGACCGTCAAGGACCTCGACGTCCTCTCTTTCCCACGCTTTTCCAACACACGGCAAAACGCGCACAATCACCTCCCCCAGCCTTCCGAGCTGGAATGGATCTGCGACAGCCCTCTTCGCCCAACGTGTTAAGACTACGGCGGGCAGAGGACAGATACGAGACAGAAGCCGGATGCCTGCGCGCTGGATGGGGGGGGGGCACAAACGAAAGTATAGATCAGGTATCTATCGTCCAGCGTGCGGGTCCCCTTTGTGTGAAGTGTAAATCAAGGGGAAACCACAGCGCCGTCGTTGTGTGACAGCAGCACAGCAGTGCAGCGGTTGGTGCCCGTGACGGCGTGTGTGTGTGGCATCCGTGCCTTTATCACTCCCCCAGGTGATCAGGATTGAGGAGTGGCACGTCGTTGCTGAGCAGTGACAGCAGCAGCAGTGAGACACGGAGAGACACGGCGGGTACACACGAAAGGGAGGCGGGAGACTCGGACGAAAGCTGAAAGGGTGAGTCTGCTATGTGCTGCCATTGTAGTGTGGGCAGTTTTTGAAATGAGTTTGTACACGCTGCGCCCCCCACCTATGCGGCATCGGGATACACACAACCTGCTGTGGCTTGTTACAGACTCTCGGCTTTCCGGTGCGTGTCCTATTTTGTGTCAGCACACAGCGGTCTGTGTAGGTTAGTGTTCACACGGCGAGCTTGAGGTGGCGGGGGCACTGGTAACTACAGCTCCAGCAGTAGCACCGCTGTACTGCCCAGTACTGCCAGTACCGGCCTGTCACTGAAAGAACCGGAGGAGCCCACCGGCCATGCCCACAAGAACAACTACTGCTGGTGTGTGCTGTCGTCGAACCTCGCCTGGTTTGGAGCATCCACGCCTACCCGCATCCTTGAGCCCCGACCCACAAGCAAGGATCACACCTATCGCATCGCGGAGTTGAAAGTGGATCGTCCACCTGGGATGTGCAGGAAGGGGAGCCGCGAAGCTTCGTTTTGCGAGCCCGCATGTTGCTGGGCGTTGATTCTACACGCACGTATCGGCAAAGGGTAACGGCCTAAAAGCCAAGAGGCGGCGCTGGTTCATATGCATAGGATTGACATGCGCGTCGTAGGGCTGTGGTCTAGACCCTGCAGAGAAGGTGTGCTGCCACACTTACAGCAGTGCCGCTCAATATACACCGCCGAGGTCATGCCTCGCGTGTTTTTTTCTTCATACCGATCCATGTGTCCATTGTCTCGGAATCCCGGTACCGAAAGACACGACACCGAAGTTAAAGTGGACGGAAGCCGCGAAGGTGGAGGGGGGAGTACCCTGGCATGCGGCGGTGCTGCAGGGAGCTGAGAGGTGCATGACCTCCTGGCACGAGAAGGAAGAAGAGGCCAGCCGACAACGGGCGCTAGAACGAAACCACAAGCCAACAACCAATGGGGCGGGAGGGGGGCAGGAGACGGACGAGACGGCGAGGGAAGAAAGCAAACGAGAAGAGACGGACCGATTGGCGCGATACGTGCCGGATTGAATTTCTTTTGGTCGATTCCCCCCCCCCCAACGCCGCACCATTGCACCAACCCCCCACAAGTGATGACGTACCGTAACAATTAGAGTTGTGAATCGGAACGATGTACACGATATATATCGTCCGATATATATCGATATCGGTATCGAAAATTCGTGCCGATGTTCCGACCGATGTTTTCTTAGGGGCTCCGTGAATCAAATTTAGGGTATGCGCAGCAGTACGGAGCCCCTGTACGCCACACACACACAGCACAGCAGCGCAGAAACAGCAGACAACAGCACCATGTCCAGAACCAACCGGGAAGTAGACACAGGGAGAGACCGAAGGAGGGTACTGCTGAGGATACGCGACAATACATCAATCTTAATCTTTTTTTTTTTTTTCTACATTCCGTGCGATGTTTGCAGCTGAAGTCAAGCCCTTTTTGATGCCGCATTTGGGCCCATTTTGACGGGAAATGAAAGGAAAATGCACCAAATTTTCTGCCTCCGGCGGCGCCTCCGGCGAGGCCCCCTCACCAGCCGGGGGGGGCCGATGGGGGGGCTCGCTTCGCTCGCCCCCATCACGGCTCGCTGCGCTCGGCCGTAGGCGATATATCGGAGAAAATATCGTTATATCGGCTGCTGCGCAGCCGATGTAAAATATATCGTTTTTTCGTACCGATTCACAACTCTAGTAACAATGTATCGCTGGTTGGTGGCCATGTTTGCGTGTTTGCTTGTTCGTTAGTGGTCTCTCCACCGTGTGCCTTTTTCTGTCACTTATTTCTTCTTATTTTAGGCGTGGTCCCTTTGTGTCCTCGCTCTTTTTCATTTCATTGTGCTCTTTTTCATTTCATTGTCCCTTTCCTCACCGTTTCCTTGTATTTTCTTCTCTTGTTCTCTCTTTTTTTTTTCTCTCTTTTTCTATACCAGATGGCCTTGTCTCTGCTTTCGTTGTGAAGTAGCAAGATTGAACCATGGGGGTGTACCTCATTCTCTCCAGCCCGTGATGGTGACTCCTGGTCTCAAGTTGTTGTACCTCGCATAGCGCGCAGAGGGAGTGGAGGTCTCCAGAATATCTGTCGTTGATTTCTATCGACTCGCGGACCCCTCGGGGCCAGTTTGTTTTGAGTGTACCTTTCTAGGGCAAGTTAGCGTGCGACCACGGGAATCGACCGCGTCGAGAGTTGGATCAGTACGGACATACGAAGGTACTCGGTAGAGAGAGATCAGAACGGTTTTTAATGTGAAGACAACAACAACAACAACAACTTAGCCCGGAAGACTTGTAGTGTAGACACTTTGGAGATGGAGATTATTTATTTAGCGTATCATTTACATGCGTTGTGCATGTTGTTGTTGTACAAAGGTGTTTGTCTAGTGAATTTCGAGGTGTGTTTTTTTCCAAGTGTTGTTTTCTACTGTACAGCAAGCAGCACACAAAGTAGTGGGTACCGCATTCCCACGGCGATAATACTGACCGTCCAAGTATGTACTCAATTCCGAGAAATTTGCAAGTATTCCACATCTACGATGAAACAAAAGTACACGGGTACAGGTAGAACAGCAACGCTCCCACCAACGAACGCACCATCCACGACTCGACCTAGCCGCTGAACGCTACGGCACACGTACGCCCGACCCTAAAAAGTTTCACAGTTTTAAAACCATGTGTGCTATCTATATATTCGGCGATTCGCTCGAGCCCTCCCTCCAACGGACAAAATTTGTGAAGACTTCCCATGAAGGGACGCATTCAAGAGATGCGCGGAGATGAGTTTTACAGCAGTCGATCCCGCCCGTTGGTACAGATCTGCACGGTTTTTACCCCCCAGCAGCGAGCGCCTACTCCCAAGCACCTCCAACCTAGTGCTGTGTAAGGAACAACACCGACATTTGTTGAATGAATGCTTGTTTTTTTTTTCTCTCTGCCTTATAAACGCGAGGTTGGCATCACCTACCTTTGAGCGGATTTTCTTGCCTCTCATTGGCGCGAAACTATCGAAGTTTTTGGGTAGACACGCCTTCTTTGGGAGACTGCCGGTGGTCGCCCCACTATCCAAGTGTGAGAAACTGCACTGCCAAACCGTGTGGCACGCGTAGCGGCCTCACCTGATGAAACGCTTGGTCCTCTGCATTGCAACGATATCCGTATGTACAAATGCGACTTTTTTGGTGACTCTTTTTTCTTTTTTTCTCTGGTGGGACAGCGTTTTTTCGCACACGTTCTTCTGCATGGCACTCAGAGGACCCGTTGGTACATTTCCCGTCGCGTGTGGGGCTCGCGAGACCTCGGTGGTGCGCGTGATGGCCGCTGAAAAGTCGCTGGGACTGGCTCTATTCCAGGGGCTGCGAATCCAAACCAATAGAGCCTTCAGTTTTATACGTGAAAGCTGAACAGGAACACTTCCTAGCGGGGTGTATTCCTCTTTGATCCCACAAACCATGGGCGACACGAATACGTGAGAGCGAATGATCAAACGTAACGGATCACAGTAGTAGACCTGCAACAAAGACGTCATCACAGTCACAGCGAGTAAAAAAAATACCCCGCGCATGATGCCAAAATTCCAGGCAAATGCTGCAGGTTGTATGCGAAACCGGCACTCAAACCGATCGTCATGACCTTGGAGGTGCAACGATGCGACCGCGATGACATCGACCATGTCCTCTTGCGTAGCCATCGGGAGTCGCCCCCGGGAGGCAAGTCAAGTAACTCCCGAAGGGGAGCCTTGTATACCGTGCCTTGTTGGTATTTCCCTGGGTCGTATTCCTTCCTTTGTTGATTCTTTTCTTTTCAGAGGGTCAAGACAGAACATGTGTCCAACAAAATGACTTTTCAGACCTAGACGTTAAACTTTGCAGAATTGTTTAGTGGCGTGCCTGGGACCAGTCCTGGATATGCCAAACGTCGGGACATTCCAGCACAGGGTAACAAAGTGTGTTTTAGTTCTGACTGATTTTCCAGTCCGAATCTGTCTACAACATGCCACGGTGGTGAATAGTGACAATGTATATTTCTCGTTCTCTACAGCCAACGCCCGTACGTATATCTTTGGCACTCAAGAAATTGAGATACCCTCCAAGAACTCCAAGTCTAAGAACTTGAGCACCATTGGTGAGCTCGGTCAAGAACCTTTCCACTAACAATACCATTCGAAGCAGAACCCTGGGAACCATTGTAAGAGCCCCAGCTGTGGCAATAACTTGGAATTCTTGACTGCCGGTGCCCACTCTTTCCGTAAACGCGATACATTTTACGACCAATGCCAAGACAAGCCACAGCAGAGCACGACCCCTTGCCTTGCCAAAGCCAAAGCACGGCTTTCAACCAAAACGGGCGGCGTGGCCGAGAATGTTCGCACACAACGTGACGTTTTCATTGGACGGGGGGCCACGGGAGCCGGCCGGCTTGTGGCGGTTTCTCTGGCGATCTTGGCATCACGTTGCAATGAATTGAAAAAAGGGCTTGTACGCCATTCGATGCGATGCCTCGCGTTAACATTCTGCTTGGAGCACCGACGCAACTCCGTACTTTCATTTGGCGCGAGAATCTTTCTCAGGTCGCCAACTCTCAGTGTTATGCTGGCAGCAGTCGACTTTTTTTTTTTCACTTCGTCGTTGGTGATGCGGTACACCACCACCCCCCACCTCTCTACGTGCTTACATGCACGTCTCCCGTAACCTTGCCCTCTCCCTCTGGTTCCCCTCTGCCGGTCCACCCTCGTACGCATGACCATGATGCCGCCTTTGCCTTCTTCCCAACGGTCAGAATCGCTGCGGGCGGCAAAAGCCTGCAGGCGTTGCTGCCGGTCGGGGGGAAGGGGGGGCGCGGATACAGCGCCAAAATACCCTCTTCCGCCACCACGTTAGCGTGTCGTGCGCTTGGGGCATCGAGCCGCTTCGGCGACTCGGTTGATGGAGGAGTAGCAGTAGCAGCAGCGCCGGCACCAGCATCATCAAGCAGAGGCATCAAGTCACCATGGGGAACAAGCTGAGCGTCTCGTCGACATTTTCTTATGCAAGCAGCGGTGGCAGCAACAGCAGGCGCGGCAGAGGCAGCAGCTACAGCATCTACAGCAGCAGCAGCAGCAGCATCAGCAGCATCAACATCGACAGCAGCAGCAGAAGCACCAATATCGACAATTCCAGCAGGGGTGTGGACGGCGGTACTGCCTACACCTCCTCTACCCGAACACCTCCGCGGCTGAACGACGACAGCGGCAGCGGCGGCGGGAACACCCACCGGTTCTACCATCCGGAGACCCCCCGCCGAGAGACCGCTTTTCACTGCGCGACATGGCCGCAGCTGCGCACGCCGTCGTCGGCGGAATCTTCGGAGACGAGCAGCCTGTCTGGTGGAGCGACGGAGGGCGGTGGGAGCATGTTCGCCGCCGGCAGTACCCCCGCTGATTCTCCATCGGGGACGGCGGCGGCGGCGGCAACGGCGAGCGTCTCTACCCCGCGGCGTGCTTTTGGTGCTGCTGCTCAGGTTGGTCTCGAGCGGTACCCGATGTTCTCGCTGTCTTCGCTCCGACGGGTGGGGGGCGTGGCGGCGGCGTTCGGGGGCTTTTCTACGGACAGCGACAGCGACAGCGGCGGCGGCGGCGGCGGCGGCGGTGGTGGTAACGGCAGCAGCGGCAGCAGCAATAGCAGCGGCAGCGACAGCGACAACGGCAACCACAACAACATAGGGTTCAGGAGCGCGGCGGACAGCTGCAGCGACAGCAGCAGCATCAGCTGCAGCACGCGGAGCATCTGCTTCAGCGACAACGACGATGGCGGCGGCGGCGGCGGCGGCGGAGGGCTGGCTCTTGAGGGCTTGGGCGGTAGCGCCAGGGGGGCTGCGCGGGAACAACGGGAGATCGGAGGGGCTCATTTTTCGTGGGATTCGGGGAGAGGTAAGCGGACGGTAAGGGTATGAGTGAACGCGCGCTGATTGCTACGGATCACGCAAGGGGAAGAGGGTAACACGAGCGGGATGATTTCGAAGAGTTGGCTTGAGTGCAGGCGAGACCATACTTGAACTGCCGTGTGTGCGCCGACGCTGACGGTGATCTCTACAGCGCGTGCTGGTTTCGTTTTCCACTCACCCCGGTGCAAGACGTTGCGGTAGAGGCGTGCGCTGTGGTGGGTCGTGGTTGCAAACGGTGTGCCATCAGGCACTGCTGGTGTTTGATGATGCGAAGCCGGTGCGGGGAACACGATAAATACATATCCACCGTCCGTACGACGCCAGATGGAATATGCATGCCACACTCCGGGGGTGAATCTCGGAAGGTCGTTGTCACGGACCCAAGAAGGCGATGCCGGCATTCAGGGGTGGCTCTTTTCAAGAGCGCCCTGTGGCACAACAGACGTGTTGTTGTTTTTGTTGTCTTGACAATAAAAAGAACGTTCCGGGTGCTGCCACATTAAGTGTGACACGTTTTTCTTGCGTGGAAGGTACTGAGATCGGAAAACCGGCCCAGGGCATGTGTGGGGTCGCACGGAACACACTTTTCCCTCCCTTCACCACGATGCCAATTTTTCGCTTTTCGCTTTCTCTACCAACGCTCCGTCTCTTTGCCTTCCCTCGTTCTCCCTCCCCAAACGTTCCATCATCCCCAATGCCACCGACATGGGCCGAACTCCCCCCCCCGCACCTCGTAGGAGGTTGGCCATTGGTGATCGGTCCTGTGGGAACAACCCCAGGTTCTCTCGAGGACGCGTGGTCAGTGGTCTAACCGCATGCAAAGCATAGGTACGCCCCCCTTCACTTACGTACCATCATGCCCGACATCCCCCGGCCGACACACTCCCGCCCTCCGGCAGCACCAGCAACGAGGGCAGCACCGTCGACAGCTCCCGCGAGGCGCTACATCCCGGCATTTACTTTCGGTTCCTTGACGTCGAGATCGCGGAGAGGGTCCACGGGGGTGACGAGATCTTTCGATGAGCGGGGAGAGAGTCGCGAAAGTGCACCGCCTAGACAACCTCCGCACCTGGCACCACCGGATCGGACCGGCACCCCCCATAGGTCTGGACCGCAGCGGGCGCCATGTCCTAGGTGAGATCAGTCTCTCCAAGACTTTGTTGTGCTGCTGCTGCTGCTGCTGGTGTTGTTGCGTTTTTGCGTTGGCCCGACGACAGTCGTAGGAGGTAGGTTATGTGGCTGGGGGGGGTATACTCTTAGCCATGCATGTCGTAGTCGTAGGACCGTTGGCCTCGCATCCCTAGGAAGCACGCCGGGTTCTCACCGGACCAGGCTAAACTGCGCATCAATCACCAAGAAGCGCCCAAGAGCCGTGAGGCACAATTCGGAGGGACGCATGGAGGGTACGCTGCGAGGGTTGTAGGCATCATGTGCTTACGTCCTTTGCGTACGGATTATGTTGTTGTTGCTGGGGGGGGGG